GGACCTCCTCCTCCAGGCGCGCCGTTGTTTCGCCGATCTCGGCCTGGTAGCGCCGCACCGCCTCCTGTTTTCCGGCAATCGACGCATTGGCGGTGTTGAGGGCGGTCTCCAGCTCGTTGATGTCCTGCTCTAATCTCTTGAAGCGCCTTATCTTTTAATCTCTAATCTCTCCCAATCTTCAGCACGGGTCAGTTATTGGCAAGAATGACTGCTCGGTTCCACGTGCTAGATTGTACAGCGTACGATACACACCGGGCATGATGCAGGCAGGCGAAGTACCCTTAAACTAAAATACGAAGATTGAGAGGGTAGCAAAGAAGCCCGATGCAAATCAGCTAGATAAAATTATTTAATTGCAGCTCAGCCTGTGCCATCCGTTTGACGTTGGCTTTAATTGCTGCGGTTATGCGGTTTCCTGCTGTTCTAGCTAAAGATGGTTGTCGTCAATAGGGCCAAAGTTGAACTTGCGAAAGTCATAGTTAACAGCAGAGAACGGCAGCATAACGGCAGACCAGCATATTTCCTCCAACGGCATTTCGTGATCGCCGATCATAGCTGCCCGACACACAGCTACAGCAGTTCACAGTTATCAAAATCAGGACAGGCGTTCGCATGAACCCTTCACCAGATCCTGAGGCTTTTGAACACCAGACAACATCAATCTATGGGTCGGCGAGCCTACCTCGTTCTTGCCGGACAGGACCTTGTTCTCGCAGCGGATGGAGGCGAGCTGCCGCTGAGACTCCTCATATGCAGCCTTCACTCGGAGTAATTCGTTACTGTAGTTGGCACACGCCTTCCTCAAGGCGTCCAGCTCGGCTGACAGGCTCTCCAGCCCCATCTCGCTCTCATTACGCGTCTGCAATGCAGTAGATAAATATAAGGTGCTGCGTTTGCAGAGGAGTAGCCTGAAGTTATCATCCGATTTGTGTTGACAATATGTTTTACGGTTTTCCTACTTGCATATACCGCCCACTTCTACACAAATGTCAGCAAGTCCTTTGACTCATGCGTGAAAATAAACATTATGGCTTGTTGAAGATTTGGTCGGAACACCCTCGAAAAGTTTCATTCAAAACATACCACTGTGAATGTTAACGGGGCAATGAACGGTCACATTACCTTATTCCCAGCGTGAAATAACAACAACCTTGAAGGTCAAATTTTGGTGATGCTCGACGATGTTGATCACGAAGAGTTAGTGTTGAATGTCTTAGGGAGATTCAGTCTGTGCGGAAGGAACGTACCACCCATGGAACCCCGCATTTCACAACGTGCCGGAAAAGCTCGTCGCCTGTTTTTGCCCTGCCTGTGGTTAGCCTGCTACGTAATCCACCAGTTGAAAGCTTATTTCTGAGAACTCCTAATCCTCGCGATGGTACAAAGTTCTAAGCAGAGAGTCATCACAAGACGTTCATCATAAGGGCAAAATGGCGCGTTGGAAATGAGTTACCATGGCGAAGCGGAACACAGTTTTCACTGGCGTGAAGTGGGCCATCCATGCCCAGGTTCCCAGGACGGATACATGAAACAATAATGACGCACCCATATCTACCTTCTCAGCGGCTCAGGTCAGTACCAGCCAAGATTTCCCCACCATACTCAGCATCGGGGATAATCGTACTTTAAATACAAGGCGGTTTTGGAAACTTAACCTGACACGTCGTTGGTATTGAATGACCCTTGTGCCACCATTAGCATAACAGTTATTGCAGGTAATGACGTCGGAAGGTGCGTTTCATTTATTTTTTATTGTAATTTTTAAGACTCAACCTAAAGCAATCGTTGCCTGGCATGCCAACGAAGGCGTTGTCAGCAATGGGGACGCTTAGCGTAAAACCTCTTCATGCTTTGGGAATACACTTTACAAGCAAATGCCGAGCCCACAGAACTAATCATATGAGGCGAAACGCAGATTTATTGGTTCTCAGCCAGCAGAGCCCTTAAACTGAGTTCAAAGGTCTGATTCGGCTTCAGCTTACAGCTGTAAAAGTACGGCATATGATGAGCAGTATAGCAAACAGTAGTAGCCCGTGGCGACTGCTCAGTTGGTTTGAGCGCCGGTGTTTCGACTCACTGACCCATGGTGGGGTGGGGTCGTGTCGCTTTATACGCTCGCTATTTGTCACTGACTTGGATTGCCTTCGGCGTGTGAAAGCAGCCGCACAAGAGGCCTCAGGACGGAACGTACGCAGTGTTGTGGCATGTTGAGCTTTGTCACCAAATTCTGTCATTGACCACAAATTTCTGCATCGGATGGCGAGATCATGGCTACACGCGTTGCTGAGCATAGGTTCTGATCCCAGAATTACGTTCATTGAAAAGGTTCGGACATAAAGAAATGAAAAATTGCATTTTCATTCACTGACAACGGCAGCACTGATGGTGCGACCACGCGCTGTGTCAACAGGGTAAGCTTACCCAGTTGGTGCTCTCCGAGTTTGGCCGAGTTGTGATCTCGGATGTATGATCACTGGTCGTCACTTCATCATCTGAGTTGGACGCCTCCATAGTGCGGCAAATGGCAACGGCGCTGCTGAAACTTAGATTCTTCTCAGACAACAGTCTTCTTTGCATTTGATCATCTGCTATTCCGAAGATGAGCTGTTCCAGCAGCCTGTCCCCGAGGGTATCTCCAAAACAGCAGTCGTTGGCATTTTGGCGGAGAACAGCAGCGTAGTCAGCGACTTGTTGGCCAGCGCGACGGACACACGAGCCGAACTTGCGCCGGCTGATGGTGACTGAAAGGTCAGAATCCTCCTGACCTTGCATAACCAGAAGCAACTCCGCAAGAGGTACGTCCATCGGCTTCCGAGGTGCAATCAAACTGCGAAGAAAAGCGTATGCCTTTCTGCCGCATGCCGCCAGAAATGTGACTTTTTTCTGCTTCTCGTCAGTGATGCCGCTGTAATCGAAGAACAGCTCTAGGCGCTCCTCCCACTCTGCCCACGAGCTCGAGTCAGGGTCGAATGGCTCGATGTGTTGATGCAGCGGTGTCACATCTGATGAAGCATCCATGTTAAGAATTCTGAAACGGCAGAAAATCGTGTTCATTGCGGACAAAATACAGAGCACGGTGCTCACGTGCAACAAAACATACTAGAAGCTTGAAGGGGAGGCAGATGTGGATACAGGTAGTTCGATCCAAGTCTATTTGCCAGCCATCATCGACGGCAAGCACCATAGTCGGTGGGGTTGGGGCATACTTGAGGAACATTTCCTCGGAGGCAAGCACGGCGGCTGGAGCGGAATGCTGCTATGGTAGATATACATCTACTGGTGTTTCCTACTGGTGCGTAATCGAACCTATTCGACTCATCTGTACCTTCCGGCAAATAAGACCACTCAGCTCCCAAAGATTATCCATCCGTTTCAACATTGTTTCCCCCGAGCAGGTGAAATTTCACGAGCTGGTAGGCATTCTAGGTCGCTGGGAAGGCACCTGCCTCCAAAGTTTAGATGCATCAATACTGCCTTGGCACAGCATCGTCAAAAATTGCAAATTCTTAAACTGACCCATGGTGCGTGGCAGTTTTCGTGCGCCTGAATTTCATCGGCTGCTCTTCAAGAGACAGGTGTTTGCTGCAGAATTTTAAGCAGCAACAAATTCGAAAGCTTCAGATAGTACTCGACACGCGCGCGTTGATGCGTTATGCGCTCCACATTCGTTATTCGCCCCATCTCCTTTCAGGGTCTCATCTGGAGCAGTAGAAGGTTCTTCCGAAGTCTCCTGAGCGGGGGCAATCCAAGTGTGGGTATTCCACGTACAGATCTTCCGGGCATTAAGCCTTCCGAACATGCTTTTTCTGACCCTAATCTTTCCCAGCTCGGGAGACAGGCTCACCGTTGCTGCTTCGTCAGCGGCGAAACTGCTTCTTTGCTTTATGAGTTACCGATTCGGGGAAGTGAATGGACAGCCGTAGAGGACAGCAGCCATGTTTTGACAACTTGTAGCCAGTTTCTCAAGACAGAAACTCGTAGATTTCTGTGGTCCCCGAACAGGACCTTTCTGAAGTGCCCAGCACAGCCTTCAGAGACCCATTCTGGCCTGCAGAGGGCCTGTGATGAGCCGTAGAGAATACATTATTGAAAGCTAAGGGCCCATTCTGAACTGCACACGGGACATCCCACTTCCAAACATCAATCGATTTTACAATGTCTACGGGGGCCAGAGGCGGATCTAGCCTGGAGTTTTTTTGGGGGGGCAACCGTTCGTCGCCAGCTGGCTGGTGTGGGATCCGAGGTCCAGTGCGTGGTGCCTCTCGCGAGTACCTAGTAGGGACATCATCAAAACCGAAAAAAGCACCGAAATGCTTTTGAATCTTAAACAGAAGTTAAAACAAAACCGTTAAAACAGTGAAAGTTAAAACAGACGGTAGGTAGACGAAACTTCTGGTAGACGAAAGTTCTGTAGACGAAAGTTCTGTAGGTAGACGAAAGAAAAAATGTAGAAAGTAGGTAGTAGGTAGAAAGTAGAAAGTAGTAAAGCAAAGTAGAAAGTAGGTAGACGAAAGTTCTGGAAATAATTTTTTTTGTGGGGGCAAAGCATACTCTCAGAGGTTTTTTGGGCGGCATAACCGTGCCTCCCCCCTGGATCCGCCTATGACGGGGGCAGGGGGCTACGCATCTCGATGTTGCATTACATTGGAGGTTGCATTTGTGGCCATATGTCATCAGTACAACGGTGTGAGCTGGTGACGCATCAATGTCTTCTAGGATGCACCGACGGCACGCATATTAGCGTAACGGTGCCTGCCAGCCCAGAAAATGCGTATGTGAACCGAAAAGGACAAACAAGCCTGAACTTGATGGCTGATGCCGGATCGAACCGTCAATTCTTGGCAACAGAAGCGCACGCCACCAGGCGAGTCCATGACGCCCGCGTAATGCGTACCTTGGGCCTCCCGGAGTTGTGAGTAGTAGAAAAGCCATGAGTAGACAAGCCAATAACTAGCAGAAAAGCCAATAGTAGACATATAATGAGTAGAAAATCCAGTATGAGAAAAGCCATGAGCCAGTACATAGGTACAGCTATAAATATTTTTTACGACAATAACCATACATACATTCCAAATATGCCGTCACCCATACATTTCAAATATGCCGCCTCTTTTTGGTATGCCACCAGTGTCTGTGATGTGTCCTGGAGGAACATTTCCACATATCTGTATCCGTATCGCGTGGGCCAACCGCTACGTGGTGGCAATGCCTAAACATGGCCCGCGCATAACTTTAAAAAACGTTGACCTCTTTTCAGTTTTGCGAGCGGCCAATCAATGCCAGGTGGGCTGCTTCTGGGGGACAGCGCCTACCCCTGCCTCCCCTGGCTGATGACTCCGATTGCTTTGCCGGCAACAGACGCCGAGAGAAGGACTTTGGACTTTGATATCCAACCATCACGTTATATCATATATCAACATTGCCCGTAAATACTTTATAACAAATGAAGCATCGCCGTTATTCACAGATGTTCGTTCATAGTCGTATTCTTAAAGCAAACGCGTCTATATTTTAACCGGTATTCTGCAATCTAAACGCAAATGTCATTTGCTTCCAATAGGTACAACAGCGGGCATTCGAAAACACGGGTCATAGTCGAAAATGCTTTCGGATCATTAAAGATGCGCTTCCCAGCTTCACATGGCAAGAAGCTGCGTCTACGCAAGATCGAGACGTCAATCAAGGTCATCGTGTGAGTGTGTTGTTTAAAAACAAATTAATTTATCCTGAACCCGAAAGGGGAAATTTAAAGCGCACACTTCGTGAGCACATTTCAGTGAGTTGATCATGCAGTGTGTGAATAGAAGTTCACCGACTTATTACAATCATATGGACTTCTGGCACGTACACTCCTCTACCGGAAACATCGGGTGAATAGCGAAATATTCGACGAGAGAACATGTGGGGGGGGGGGGGGGGGAAGTCCGCCCTCTCCTATCTATGTGCTTGCGTTCCTTACCATAACGTGTGTGGTCATAAGTTCCGAAATGTCATCGTGTCGACTCTCATAGTGTTTACGCTGTTCCAGAGCGTGCGTCATCTTACACAACCTTTGCCAGTCGGCTGGGGATGATGGCGCATGGCTGCTAGACGGGCTGGCGGCTCTGCCCGCAGAACAAGACAATGTTGAGGACGATCCTATCACGGAAGGGGAGCCGGTCGGCCGGGACGCAGCAGCCCAAAGACGCGCTGGCTTTTCCAGACGCGCCGAGCTAGTGCGGCTTTTTCGGCGATAGGGGCCAGTCCATGCGTTATGTTAGTGATGTGTCAGGAAAACTTTGTCTTCGCAGTCTTTGAAAACAAAACTTTGCAGTCAACAACCCAGACCCATCGCGGGGAATGAATCCGAGTCATCAGTGGGTCAAGCCGCAGCACAGCCAGCAGCGGCGGCCACGCCTGTGGAGGCCATACCGACATCCACTGCACGAGCCACGATCATCATCAGCTGTGCGCAGTGCCGCGGACAACCAACATTGTGGCACGGGCAGAAGTATCTGATCTCATGGTGCCGATAAGAAATTCTGTTTGCGGATTTTGCAACTTCATTTATTCGCAATGGTAACAGGTGTCGATGTGCATTTTGGGTGGGTCACTTTCTCTCCCGATATCCAACGTGACCTCTCCTCAGGCTTCTAGCGATAAAAAGAAGCAGGACGTTTAAAATTGCACCCCAAAATTGTCAAATTTCAATGAGGCTTCTGTTAATTGTTTCAAGCTAAAATGAACACACCAAATTATGACTGGTATGTTATGTTCAGTGTTGTGCAGCTGGCCGGGGATGTCACACTTTACGAGCTCCGCTCCTGCCCTCGGCTGCGGCTGGCGGTCGCTTTTGGCTAGCAAGCACCCGCTCCAGCATGAAGGTAAGCCGCTCCTCCCGCTGCGCCGCCTGCTCGGACTGCTGCACCATAAGCGCCGCCGAGCGCTCGAGCTGCTCGCCGTCACTGATCACTGACGTGAGTGGTCCAGCACGGCTGCACCTAGGTCACTACGTGTAAGACTCGTTTTCACGGACACAACCCGTTATGCAAGCAGACCGCGCCGTGTTCTGTTCCCACGGGCTGGATCCCGGCTCGGCTCGTCTATTTTATCAGGACAGCGATCCGCACGCGTGGGTGTCCAGATTACTAATGCCCTCCTCGCGGGCTGGGGCGTGAGTCAGCTGATGCCCGTCAGCTGATCTGACGGTCATCTGACCCAGTGCCGAAAGGCCTTTATGGTAACACCTAGTACTAAAGACGGCAGCCTGGCTAAAAACTACAGCGTGATGCCCTCCCCTGCCCCACCGGCTTGCTACGGTCTGCTTTGCGGCTCAAGTGAGAGCACGTTTTCAAGTTAGGCTGGGATATACAGGGACCTGAAAGGGATGGTTGGAGGACAAAGGTAACCGGACCATGGGTCAGATAGCAGCTTGGCCTGACCTTAGGTCTCCTGCGGCTCAGGTACTTGCCAGCCTTGCCTCGCTCGGGCCCACGGGATGGGCTTGGCTGGACTTCGGTTGGCTTGGCCCTTTTCAGTTTGGTCTGCCGTACCTTGGTTGGGCCGGGCCGGCGTCCGAAACAAACCGGGTCTGTTACAATGACCGTACGTCTGGACCGAGAGCGGACTGGAGCTGGGCCGAGGGAAAGCCCAGACCACGTCAGGCCGGATCGGATCGGAGCGGATCAGATCGTGTCGGATCGGAAAGGATTGGATAAAATAGGGTCGGATAGGATCGGATCGGGTCGGATCGGGTCGAGTGGGGTCGGGTCGGGGTGGGGCGGGGCGAGGTAGGGCGGGCCGGGCCGGGCTGGGAGGGGGCCGGTGCCAGGGCCAGGATTAGGATCGCGACCGCGACGACGACCGGAACCCAGACAGGGTCAGGTTCGGTCCAGAACCGGGGCCGGGACGGCGGTTAGCGCCGGGGCCGTGTTGGACATGAAGGATGTCATTTAATCTGTAGTCAGACCACTTGGTGTTCAATACTCCAACCAGCCTTGGTCATATCCCCTGTCAACCCGGTTCTGCCTAGCTCTGCAGATCAC